GTAGTGATATTTTATTTAAAAATTCATTTAAATCTAATAATAAATAAATGTTTTAATCAAATAATAAAATGTTTAAATGTTTAAGTAATAAAAGTGCCAAATAATTTTAAATAATAAAAATACTTCTGCTTATTTTTTTTTTGTATGTATTGTTGTCACTAACTGGCTTAAGACAAACAGCTAGAAAAAGATTAACAGTTATTTAATGAAAAAATTTGTTTTTAAATAATTAATTTTTGCATTTACAGGCGTTAGTCAATGACCGCTTGTTTTTTTTTTAGACAATGTTTTTAATAGATAAAATAATATTTATTTCATAAAAAGAAATAATATTTTGCTATTGAGCAAATAAAAGAAAATTATTGTTTATTACATTAAAGGAAACAAACTAAAGTATTTATTCATATATTTTTCAAACTAAAGTATTTATTCATATATTTAATTGTTAAATGCTAGCCTAAATCAAAAAGATGAATACTACTACACTATAAGAAATTTTAAAGTTGTGAAACTCATAAAAAAACCAAAGCAATAGCAATCCTCAATTAATTTGTATCAACCTGCAGTAATAGCTGTCCTTTCTACACATAATCCTGTATCTAATTATGTTAAATCAAAAGTATTATTATGCAAATCAATACCCAAATACCATCTATGTTGTAGATATACAAATGCGACTTCACTTAACAATAAGTTCGATTTGTTTTTGTTAGAAATAGCAGTGTATAATCCTGACATATTTATTGTAACTGAAACTTGGTTTAACTCATCAAGTGCCATAAATGTAAGCGGGGTATAATGTTTTTTACAACAATCGATCTAAATCTAATTCAACTAAATCTCATGGCGGAGGTGTAGCTATTTATGTTAAAAATAAATACATTGCTTATACTCCATATGACCTAGCATCTGAAGAAATGACAGTTGAACAAGTCTGGTGTGTCATTAAAACAGAAAATGAGAATATCTTAATTGGTAGCATATATCGTCCACCAGATGCTACAGAATTGACAAATCAAAAAATAAATAAAATAATAAATATAGCTAAAAAAAGTGTTGATTGCAACAAATATTCAGGTCTACTCTTAGCCGGAGACCTAAATTACCCAAATATAAAATGGAATGAAAATGATGAGAATATCCAAACAGTGTTAAAAAATGATAGACAAGCACAAATTTTTTTAGACAATTTAAATGATAACTTTTTGACTCAAAACGTCACAAAACCAACCTTTAAATCAGGGACACTGTCAGAAGGCAATACCTTAGATTTGATTTTAACCGATGCACCAGAGCGTATTTCGATCATAGGCTATAATCCTCCGTTAAGCAATTTAACTAATGCACATCAGATATTGTATTGGAATTACATCTTAATAAAACCAACAACATCAAAATCTTCCTATGGGAAATCAAAGTTTAACTACAAAGCCGGAAATTATCAAGAAATGAACAATTCATTCCATAGTATAAGATGGTCACATATTTTCTCTAATAAAAACGTTGATGAATGCTACAAAATTTTTGTAAATAAATAACAAGAATTATCTGACAGTTCTATACCTAAAAAAGTGCATAAACACATAGCTTTAAAACCATATATTGACAAACAAATTAAGACTGAAATCAGACATAAAACAACCTTATGGAACAAATTAATATCATATAAATCCAAATCACCCATTTTGGTTAAGCAATACAAAATACAAAGTAAATTAGTTAAAAACATGGTGAGGTTAAAACGTATTGAATATGAATAAATAAAATCAGTGAAACATCAAAAAGAAATCCCAAGTTATTTTATAGTTATGTAAATTCTAACAAAAAAGTTAAAGGAGGAATAGCTTCAATGTCTAATGAATATAATAACATTGTAACAAATAGAGAATCTATAGCAAATATTTTAAACAATAGTTTCAATTCAGTTTGTGTTAACGAAGATAAACATAACATACCAAATATACCGCAGAAGACTGAAATTATTATAGAAGAAGATATAAATAATAAAATAACTTGCCATACTATTGAAAAAAAAATTTAAAAAATTAGATGTTTACAAAGCTATCGGAGTAGATGGGATAAGCCCATATGTTTTAAATAAATGTCATAGTACTCTCTGTGAACCATTACTTTTAATATATATAAAATCGTTGACTGAGAAAAAATTACCTGAACTCTGGAAATTAGCAAATATAACACCAATTTTTAAAAAAGGTAATACGAACATTGCATCTAATTACAGGCCAATCTCATTGACTTCTATCCCATGTAAAGTTTTGGAATCACTCACTAGAGATGAAATTATGGATTATCTAATAAATAACAGCTTATTAAATGAAAATCAGCATGGGTTCAGAAAAAATAAAAGCTGCACAACAAACCTATTGGAAACTCTTGATATCATAACAGATGCACTAGAAAATGGCCACTCAGTTGATATGTTGTATCTAGACTTTGAAAAGGCTTTCGATAAAGTACCACACTCGCGTTTGATCACTAAACTTCAATCATATGGTATTGTGAGAAATTATCTGGGATGGATAGAGAACTTTTTAACTAACAGAAAACAGAGAGTGGTCCTTGGCGACACAGTCTCAGATTGGCTACCAGTTATTAGTGGTGTACCACAGGGTTCAGTTTTAGGACCACTGCTGTTTTTGATTTTTATTAATGATTTGCCAGATCAAGTTAAAAACTCTATTAAACTTTACGCTAATGATAGTAAAATAATAAATATTATAAAAAATCCTAATGATTCAATAAGCCTTCAAAATGATATAAATAACATAATGGCATGGTCATCTATTTGGCTCACAAAATTTAATTATGAAAAATGCAAAGTTATGCATATTGGGAAAAAAAATCCAAATGCTACATTTATAATGACTGATATTGATTGCAATTACAATTATACATTGTGTAACACAAAAGCTGAACGTGATTTGGGTATAATGGTTCAATCCGATTTAAAATGGCACTCACAAGTTGATTCAGCAACCAGCAAAGCAAACAGAATGTTAGGTACCATAAAGAGAAGCTTTAAATATTTAGATGTAAACATGGTAAAAATGCTCTATACAACGTTCATACGTCCACATCTTGAGTTTGCGGTCCAGGCATGGTCTCCATTTTTAAAACAAGACATAGACAAGATTGAGAAAATCCAAAAAAGAGCAACCAAACTAGCACCTACAATTAGGAAATTATCATATGAGGCTAGGTTGAATATTATGCAATTAACGTCACTGGAAGAACGTAGACTACGTGGAGATCTGATTCAACAATATAAAATTCAGCATGGCCACGATAAAATAAATTGGGTTGCTAACGATTGTGGAAATGCATTGGAGGAGGGTCCATGTCTGCGACAACACAAATTCAAAATGAGGAAGCCTTTTAGCAGAAATACCTTCAGGTATCATTTTTTCCAAAATCGAGTTGTAAATGCGTGGAACAGCTTACCATCTGAAATAATAGAAGCTATTTCAATAAATAACTTCAAAAACAAACTAGACAAAACTGGATTTTGCAGAAACTATTTGTTAAAACACAAACAAAAGACAAAATGAGCTGTTACAGTGCAATATCTTATGTTATTGCACTTCGCAACTGTTTAAAACAGTTGTTACAGTTATACCTTATTATTATTATATTATTATATATAACATTTAAATAAAATTTCTTGAGTTAGATAAAAGTTCAACTTATTTCATTATAAGATTTCTTCTATAGATTTTTTTTTTTTTATCAAATAGAATTAGTACATTTTTGTTTTAAATTTGCAAATAACTCTTTTTTTAAACATTCATTATTAAGACTATGTCCTAAAAGGTTCTCCTTGTATTTTAAAAATATTTAATAAAATCAAAATTATACTATTATAAAGAATACATGACCGAAAATGTATGTAAAATTTCAATTTTACATACATTTTCCAAAAACCATAGGTTTTTTTAAAAAAAACATAAAAAACCATGGTTTTTTTGGTTTAAATTAGGTTTTTAAAAAAAAATACGGTATTTAGTTATCCTTTTAAATTAAAAAAAGCATTGCGTATTTTATTTGAGTAAACTATATTCTTTATCAATATTACTGTTATATTTCATCAAAATTATTCAATATACCATTGTTTAATGTTCTATATAAAAATACAAGCTTTACTGCTTTTTCTACCCCAAATTGGTTTCTTAACTTAGAATGAACAGTTGAAAAAATTATTTCGATTCCAGGACTAGAAGCTGGTGCATTTAATAAACCTTCAATATCCATTATGTTATAATCCACAATTTTTAGAGATTTCCACCATTCTGTTGGTGATACACTTTTAAAAACAGATTCACTATACAAATAGCTTTTACAGAATGGAGTAGATTTAGCTTTTAAGTTGAATATTATTGGTAAAAATTCTTAAACTCTTTATCTGCAAAATTTATGGCAGCTTCATTTTCATTTTCAGAAAAATTAGATTCAAAATATCTAGGATCTAGTGTGTTTGCCAGGAAATGAGCATCACTGACAGTCTGAAAGTATCTAGATTCAATTTTTTTTTTTGTTTGATAAAAATGATAAACTGTTTATCCAATCTTTAAAAATTTCAACAGTGTCACTTTTTTTTGTTTGATCTTTTTGCAACTTATCTAGAACTACTGCAGTTGGTTTTAATATTTTTAATAAATCTTCTGTGTTTTGCTTTATCTGTATATCACTTACATTTTTTACCAACCATGGGATCCAAGTCTTTATTTTTTTCAAATATTGTGAAAATGATGCTCCAGTTGTTGACATATTTTTCAAGTGAATTACATACAGAATTTCGGCAAGTTTCAGTAGGAATTGGCAATTTTGTTCCTCCGCTCAATTTATAAATTGCTCCAGCTTGATGATTATTTCTTATATATTTTATTTGCGTAACATGCTTGCTCACACTTTCAATGTTAAGATCATTAGCTGAAAGATACAGCATATGAGCAGCACACCCATAAGTTATGATAATATCTCTT